CAGCAATCGCAACAGCAAGTTTTATTCCAACAACCACACACTCAGGCAAATGTACAAACACATGAACCTCCCGCCACCACTAGTAAACTAGCCGCTGACGGTCGACAAGTGCAACTCGTGGCCATACCGCAAACATCGGGACCCACTGCGGTGGTGGCTTCCACTAATCAAACACCAACAGTACAACAACAACCCACCAATGTAATGGCTTCAAACAATAACAGTGCCAATAATAGTAATAATAGTAATAATAATAATATATCGACGCCAGCAACTGCCACCATACTACCACCACATATCACCGGTATGCCCAGTAATGTATCGATATCGGTGGGTTCACCCGCATCAGCAACTGCACTTATTCAGCAACTCACCGGCAGTTTGACATTGGCGGTATCAGAGCACTGCGAACGTCTTATATTGCGGCACAATCCAAATCAACCACAGGATCAGCAATCGCAGCTAATACTCCAAGCACTACTTAAAGGCGCATTGCCAAATGTGACAATAATCAATGAGCCAACTAAACTGGATAACAGTAATAATGGCGGCGGTGGCAGTAGTGGTGGTAACCAGCAAAATAACCGCACGAATGCGGGTGGAATAAATGCAATAGCACCGACATCGGTGAACAGTGCATCACAGCCACAACAAACTAAGCCAGCGGTTGCGTCCAACACCGGGGCCATAAGTAAAGTCACTCTGCCAACGCATGTTTCTGCGCCTATAGGAACGAAAACACCCACACTACAATTGCAGTTCAATGCTTCGCAAACACCGATTTCCGGAGGTGCGTCTGCAGGAACAGTGGGATCAACTCTTCAATTACAAATGCCGCAACAGTCGCCGCAACAAAGAGCGCTGGCACAACAGCAAGGCATGATTCATTCTGCGCAGCAGTTGTTGCAACAGCAGCAGCAACATCAACAGCAGCAGCAACAGCAACAACAACAACAGCAGCAGCAGCAGCAACAACAACTACAGCACCAGCAACAACAACAGCAGCAGCAGCAACATCAACAACAACAACAACAGCAACAACAACAACTGCAGCACCTGCAACAACAACAGCAGCAACAACAACAACAACACCAACAGTCAATGCTACCACAGCTGTCGCAAATGAATACGTTACTTGGTGCTGCATCATTAGCCGCTCAAGGCCAACAACGTTATGTATCGTTACCTAAAATAAATGCGGCAACACAGCAGATATTCTCTCTAAACAGCGAAACGAATCAAATCACTCCCATTAGTCCGACGCAGACTGCTGCGTCAATTGGCCCCACCGAACGTCTGCTGATCGCGCCAGCCGGCATCAATGCTCAGCAATTAGCACAGTGCCTGCAGCTGGGTCAAATACATTTCAACGATGTGAATCCGTTGCCACCCAGCACGCAGCCGCAACCCACGATGATGGCCATGAATCCGACACTGGCCATTAATCAGCAAGCAATGCAACAACAACAGCAACGCTTACAGCCGCCGCAGCAGCAAATAGTACACCCGCAACCCATCCAACCACTAAGTAGTATAGCAAGCAGCGTCAACACTAATAGCACTAATGCAACTACAAATACGGTTACTAAGCAAGTGGCCAACGTGGCGCCCATTATTGATCAGAGTAAAGCCAAGTTGGAGCCGACAAAAGTTGTAGCGCCAACAGGTGCCGTCGCAAAGAAGAAGCCAGTGCGTAAGCCGAAGGCTACCACTACAGCTGCCGACGTAGCCAGTGGCACTGCAGGCATAAAAAATGCGAGCGTCGTTAAGCCAATGCCAAAATTGGATCCGCTGTCGCAGAAGCCGAACAATAACCCCGTACAGATCGTGCAGCCGAATGTAGCCAGTGGCAAGCAAGTTGTCGCCGCAGGTGCTCCCGGTAATTTAACGACAGCAGGCAACAACAGCATACAACCCTTTCAGTCAATGCAGCAAACGACGAAATTGATTGGCGTAACGGCGCCCATGCAACAGCTGGGCGCCTCTGGAGCGAGCTCACAGCAACAGCAGCAGCAGCAACAACAACAGCAACAACCAACAAGCAGTGCACCAATGATGCTGCAGTCTCCAAATGTTCGCGGCTTTGTCAGCAGTGCAAGCATTACTGTTGGCTCAACTACAGCAACCAGCACCAGCGGCATGGCTACCAGCAGTAGCGCGGTTACAAGCAGTAGCGCGGTTACAAGCAGCAGCATGATGATGACGTCATCGTCGACGACTCTGACGCCTAGTTTTAGTAATAACGCGCCGCCGTCTCTTTCGGCTCTGAACTCGTCTAGCAATGCAAGCGCAACACCACAGCAACCGCAGCAGCAGCAGGCAGCACAGCAGACTCAGCAACAACACACAGTGTCGCGTGTACAAACAATTCAGCTGACGGCGCAACAGCAGCAGATGTTTAAGCAAGTGCAAATGCAAATCCAATTTCTGACTATTAAGTTGCAGCATAAATCGTTGCTGAACTCACTGCCATTGCCGCCCGATTTTGACCCAGCCATCATCGCTGCATATGCCAAACCGATGAGCGATCCTGAGATAAATGTGGCACTGCAACGTCTGTATACAGAGCAGCAGCGCATATTGGCCGCTGGCAAGGAAATGCCTACGCCCGAAGCCTATCTTCAAATGCCTTCGATGGGCAATGGCGCAGGCATTACACTAATGACGCAGCCGACACTGATGCAGCAACAGCATGTAGGAGTAAGTAAAGCAAATACAACGGGCATACCGGCGAATGTCGTGCAACCTAATAACCACTCATCCACCGTGACCAATGCGATGGGCAGTGCTGCAGCTGGTCAGCAGCTGCAGTCGCAGACACAGCCGCAGGCGCAGGCCGGAGTAACGCATCGAATTCACATATATCCGATGCAACATCACCAAACAGTGCAGCAAAATAAACAACAACAACAACAACAGTCCAAGTCGCAGCAAACACCAACAACTTCGCGTGGCAAAGACAACGCTAACACCAGTGGAAGGGGAAGCAAAACGCCAACACCCAACTTGCAGCAAATAGCGCAGAATTGCAACAGCAATAGCACGTTGGTGCCCTTGAGCACACAGAAGCAGCAGCCAACACTGGTGCCAACAACAAAAGCGCCTGCTTTACACTATCAGCAGCAACAAACGCAGCAACAGCAATTCATGCTACAAAAGCCAGTTCTAGTGAGCAACATCAACAGCAGTAGTGCAAGTCTCATGAACGGACCTCCGCCACTAGTTTTCTCTAATCCGTTGATTGCTGCCGCAGCCGCAACAACAAGCAGCGCTATGCTTTTCACATCTGGCCAAAATGGTTTCTTGCATGCCTTCTCGCAAGCGCCCGCCAACAGCCTATCCACAATAACGACCACCGCAGCACCAGCCAACACAGTTACAAGCCCAAGCAGCGCTATCAATACCACGACAACTGCAACCGTAACTTCAACTGCAGCAACAGCAACATCAACATCAGCATCAACGTCTAATTCTAATAGTGCTGTCTGCACGAGCATATCTGCTGACACAACCACCAGCACAACGATTACCACAACAACAACTGCGGTAGGTGCTGCGGTAACGTCAACCGAAAGTACGCCACCATTGGATACGCAAGCGCCACTTCAAGTGCCGAGAAGTAATGCATCGTTCGTGTCTGGCAGCAGCAACACCACCACCAGCACCACCACTACCCCCACAATGTCCGCCACTACACTGGGCATGCATATGATCAAATCAGAAGAGAACATGGCGCCACAGCCGAAACTTGCACGTCTTTCTTTGTGAGTAGTTGGTTGAAAATGCGCGATACTCAACACAACTTTCGCTTTTCGACTTTTATAATTTGATCTTTTGCACGATTTTTATTGTATAAATGGTCGTATATATAACTATATGTGTTTTCAGATTTTTACGTCAATTGGAGTTGGATCAGCAGGCGTGCTTAAAACCTGACTACCTCAATCCCTTTCAGGACAAAGAGGAGGCCGTAAAACGGTTAATAAGGTGGGCTGCACGCTAATTCACTTTTATTTATTTTTTATTTTTTTAATTATAACAAATGCTGCTCACTTAGGTATCATTGCATGTATGAGAGTGTTGAGGATCTACCATTTGAGGATGAAGAGCGTTTCGAGCAGACGGCGATGCAATATCAGGAAAAATATCACAAAATTTCAACCAAATACCAAAAGATCTTGCAGCAGGAGTCAACGGTGAGTGACCTATATCTTTACATTTTCTACATGTATAATTACAATTTTAGAACGCTCCAATAAAATCAAATTACAAACAGAGTAGGCTTCAGAAGTGACGTTTTTTTTGAAATCTTGCATTAAGGTTTGGTAAACCATCTCTTGCTCCGAAAATCAGGGCACTCATCATTAAAGTGGATAGGTTCAGTAGGCAGGGCCGCCGAGAGAAAATGCGGGCCCGGTACTAAATCTTCAAGAGGTTTCAGAATTATTTCTTTTTTAAGTGCTCCAAAATTGTTGTACCCATATTAAAATATTGGCTGTCGAAACAATTACTTTCTGGTAAATAATAAAGGAGATTCAATTTCATATATTTTACTGCTTTGAGAAAATTACAGTTGGCCATTATTCTAACAAGTTTATCTTTGATCAAGCCGATAATAATGGGGCTTCCTCCACCGGAACCGAAAACTGAATGATAAGCGACATATGATTAGAAAATGTTTTCTTGTTAATAGCGCTCTTACAAGTTATGTATTTGCATATCGAGGGCTTATATTAAATACTCTCTATCTATCTATAAAAACTTTATAATAGGTTTGTTCTACAAGCTACTCGAAGTCACTTCGAGTTACACATACGCGTTTCACAAGTAAGTTTTATAGTTTATTTGATATACGCTGACAGTTTGAACTTTGCTCGAGCTTTTCTACAAGTAGCTTGTGGAACAAACCTAATATTTAGTCTAGCAAGTAAGCTTAATCTTACATTATGTCAGTACTGCTTAAAAGTAAGTTTATTGTCAAAAATTATTCCCAGTATTTTCAATATGTCAGTTTAGTGGATAGGGATGTCATACACGGAGAGGGTTGGATGTATACATTTGTGTCTTTTGCATATGTACGATTGCGGCAAGTCCTTAGTCTTAGAAAAAAATATAATGAAGCTAACTTTCCCAAAGGCTATATTGAATAAAATAACCGAAAGTGGTGATCCATGTGGGGCAACATTAAAGAGAGGAACAGTTTTTGAATAACACCCGAACCCGAACAGCGAACTTCCAGTTGTAAAGGAAAGACTTAACAATATTGTACATCCTCCTCACCATTTCTCCAGCGTAATAATTTAGATATGCAGGGGAGGAGGGAAATGGGAGAAACTAATGAATTGTTTCTATTTAGTTTGGCAATAGGAATAATAATAGTAGTTTTTCACTCTTGGTGACCCTTGAGATAGAATGGAGTAATGGAGTTTAATGGCTCTATGTGGAAATATAAGAGTTTATTGCTGTGTCAAGTTTGGTTTCGGTTGGGCAGATATATCGCATTAGGTAGAACTATTTATTTCGGTTGGGCAGATATATCGCATTAGGTAGAACTATTTTAGCCTGGGCAAAACTAGTTTGACCTAAGATCGGATTTTACAAGCAACATATACATACATACATACATAGGCACATGTAACTTACCTGCCACAAAAAATGTTAATCATGTTTTCCAGCAAAATTGTGTAGATAGAGGATTTTGCTCTTATAACAAAATGTTGCACATAGTCGAATTTTCAAAATGAGAACATAATACCATTACAGCTATATTTTAAGTTTGACATTATTCATGGCTGAAAGATTAATGGGAGCTCACGTTACAATCAAAAACTCAATTTTGATCAAAATTGCAGATAGAGGGTATTGAATATAAGACCTCGCTATGTAAATCCTACTATGCTGATGCGTTCCCATATATGATACATACGAGTGCATGTAAAAAAGTAACGTTTACATATGTAAATACATATCGTGTAAGAGCGCTGTAATGTATAAGTTATAAATAAACAGAATAAGGTCAAACGAGGATAGAGCGTATACTATAAAAGAGCATTCAGCATGCACACAAAACCTGAGCGTTTGTATATCGTCTGATATTCTTCCTTTAAAAATAACTAACTGTCTGTCAGTACGAGTGAAGTTCAGTTTCAATACGAAATCGACCCATAATTTGATGGCTTTAATAAACACTTGGAACATGCAAATAAATGGTGGGGGCCTTTTGAAAAATTATTAAAACACAAACTGTCGTGTAACGTTAATCCCACGTAAAACTGATACTTGAAATGCTGAAACAAACCAGATATTATAATTAATTAATTATAAATATTATTTTTCCTTACAGTTAGCTCATCGTACATCCGAAACTTGTCAAATCCAACAATTAATGATTGATGATCTGAGGACGGAAATGGAGCATTTACGAAATTCGGAGCGTGAGCAAGCATTGTATGAGCAGCAATTGCACCAACAACAACAACAAAAAGATCTGCCGGAGCGCGAGCAATTCGAACAAAATGTTGATCAATTGCCGTCAGTCGAAATGCAGGAAGTAAAGCAGGAACTCAAAGCTGTAAAAGACGAACTGCAGATAGGCGGTGCTAAGATAAGCGTAAACATTGACACTGCACTTAAAACACTTGGAATTAAAACTGAGCCTGGTGACAATAGCAGTAGCAACGCCCATTCAGGTTGCAATGAAAACAAAGACGCAGCTCCATCATCGCCAGTTGTAGATAAATTTGACTTTTTAAAGCAAAGTATAGCTAATAACTCACCAACTAATGACGGCAACAAGCAACAGCATATGCTGCAGAATCAGAATTTGGAGGAGCAGGAGCATAAACAAAACGAATTACTACCGAAAAAGGAAGAGAAACCCAGTTGGCATAGTGCAGTGACAGCGACACCCGCATCGTTTGAAAATTCGAATTCCGATTCAGTCGAGTCAAATGTGGGCAATGGCAAATTACCGGCATCCAATTTCTATCCGTCCAGTAAAAAGCAGCTGAATGGCACTATTAAGCGAGATACGGCGCCCCTAACTGCTCCGTGTACTTATATCAAGAAGGAGTTTGAAAATTTCGATATTGAATCAGAAATAACACCGAGTTTTATTATGAAAAAAGTAGAACATAAAGATGTGTTGTCGTCACCACCACCAACGCAGCTGAATACCGCCAAAATGCATTACAAGCAAGCCAGGGAAAAGACCGAGCGCAATAATGCGCATGATCAGCAGCAACAACAGCAACAGCCAAGGGTAGCGACAAGTGCGCCAGCGGGTAATAGTTTTGCTGCACAATATTTGCAACACAATTCGAAGCAACAACAGTTACAGCAGCAACAGCAACATCAACAGCAGCAGTTTAAGCAGCAGCAACAGCAATTGAAGCAGCAGCAGCAGCAGCAACAGCAACAACAACAACAAGAAGACGATTGGCTATGCTTGCAGAAAGAGTTAAATCTTATCAACACCGAAAATAAAATGCCATTGCAGCATTTGAATAATCTGCAGCAAGAGCAGCAGCAGCAGTCACAGCCTATGAAGTCGCTCAATCTCTTTGAGCGCTCGCCTAGCAATGATAGCGGCAGCAGCATGGGCACAGTTAGCAGCGGACAATCTGGTCACTTAATAGATCTCTTCCCCAATGGTTGTATAAACAAGAACACCCAATTGAGCCCCAGTAGTAGTGACTCCACCCAACACCATGAACAGCAGCAACAGCAACAAAACTGTGATCAAGGCGTGCAGCCTACCAGTGACCACCACCAAAACCACCAACAAGAGCAAGATTCACATAACCATATGCAGTCAACACTCAACGAATTCTTTGACTCCGGTGACGACATGGCAGATGTACATAAGTCGGTAGAGACGCGCCTGGAGGCCATGTTCGGCGAGTCTCCTGTTCATTTGAGTAAAAGTGGCGGAAGCGATTCGCAAGACATTGAAGCTGGACTAGATGAGATTTTCGGCGATGACAAATCAAACGATAGCAACACCGACTCTAATTCGAAGCAGCAGCAACAACGTCTGTGGGATAGTGAGCTTTCTGCAGCAAACAATTTTATGCGAGTCACAAACACCCAAGAGGGTGGGCTATTTGGAAATGAGCAGCAGCAAATGCAACTCAATCAGCAACACTTGCAACAAAGCTTGCAATTAAATATCACTAACAGTTCAACACGTTGGATGCAAAACATCGATGCTCCATTTGGCGAGTTCATAGCCAACTCCACCAATGACTGCTCCGAGTCACGTAAAAGGCGTTGGAATGCTGAATTAATGTCGCCCGATGCGGACGATACTCTCGATGGTGCAAAGAAGATGTGCCCAATGTCTGGTTCCTCGAGCTCATCATCGCCTATATCAGCACAGCAACAGCAGCAGCAACACCAGCAAACCCAACAACATCACGAAAGTATTATGGAGGCTGATCTACTGTCGCTACATGATGGCATACGTGTGGAGCCTGCCGCAGCACAAATGTTGCAAATGTCTGCTCAGCAGCAAGCTGTCTTCTGCCAAACACAGCAGCAGTTCAGTAATTTATTGGATGGTGTAGATCACCATCAACAACATTTTACTAGCGCACAACACCAACAGCAGCAGCAATCTCACCTTCAGCATAGCCATCACCATCTTAACCACCAACTTCACACACACTTACAAACGCATATGCAAAGCAATCATATCGGTGGAGGCGACTTTGATGATGACATAAGTCGGCATGTGCAGAATGCCATTGACAGCATTTTGAATTTGCAAAACAGTGAATCAGCAGACTCGCTCAACTTCTCGTTAGATCATTCGATGGGCTCGTTGCTCGGCGACAGCATACTTGACGATAGACAACAACAACAAACGACGGTAAATTGCCAAGATGGCGTTAAACGAAGGCACCATCACCTTGTCGACGAATTGGGCGATTGTCTGATCAGCGGTGGCGGCAGTGGAGCAGCAGCAGGAGACAACGCAAGCACCATACTTTTGGATAGCACTCAAAATCACCATGCACAACAACAACAGCAAGCACTGCTAAATCAAAACCATCACCAGGGAATGCAGCAAAACAATCATCAACAACAAACCCAACACTTGCATCAGCAGCAACAATCGATGTTAAGTAACGATTTCGGCTGCGTTGCAGCTGGTCTCGTCGACGAAGCGGTCAAATCGATAATGACATCCTGACAACTTACTACAGCGGATCAGCAGCAGAATCAACAACAACTGCAAGCGCTCGCATCGAGACAACGCGCTGTAGCTAGATCTACAACAACGGCAGCAGCAGCAATAACGGCGATTACAACTGGTGGCAATAGTATTGGCAACAATCGTAACAACATTGTAAATACAGGAGTGATACTAGAGTTTAATACAAGTGCTTTATGAGCTGTGCGTCGTAAAAGAAGCGCTTAGTACGGCGTATGTGTCTTGTAAAAGAGAAGTGGAGAGTGCAGAGTAAGGCGCATCGTTAAAAGAGCACATTTGGAACCACATGCAGCTATAAAAAACGAGCATTATTCTACATTTCTTATTATGCCGTATTTCCACTGGGCATTAAATGACTAAAATATTTAATGATAAGTTTTGGCATTACAAACAAATCGGTATACCTACTTTCTGTCGGCCGCTGTGGCGTAGTGGTAAGCAGTGCGCGCTTTCACTCCCCTGCGCCTCGGGTCAAAGCAACATCGAAAAAAATATAGAAAAAATGTTTTTTTCTTACAGCGGCCGTCCCTCGGCAGGCAATGGTAAACTTCCGAGTGTATTTCTGCNGCTGCGCCTCGGGTCAAAGCAACATCGAAAAAAATATAGAAAAAAGGTTTTTTCTTACAGCGGCCGTCCCTCGGCAGGCAATGGTAAACTTCCGAGTGTATTTCTGCCATGAAAAACAGCTCTCATAAAAATACAATCGCCGTTCGGAGTCGGTGTAAAACTGTAGGTCCCTCCGTGTGACAACATCAAAGCGCACCCCACAAATCGGAGGAGAATCACGGCCAAACACTAACATATGTGTAAGCGCTGATTTATTATTATTATTATTACTGACGTTACTTTAAATAAAAGTTATTAAGTCTGTTTCGCCATTTTTGTCATTTCAATGCCCAGTGGAAATACGGCATTAGTTTTTGGATTTACTTTTCAAAAGATTCCGCTAGAGCAAACCTTTTTGAACCGTGTTAGCATTCAGTTACAATTAGTGACAATTTAGTTTAAAAATTTATAATGTCTTACGAAAAATCGCTTCGAAATTGTAACCACCGAGTACAATTGCAGAATTGGAATTATATACAATATTTTATAGTGCGGCGCTTGGCAAAATGGAAATCCGATTAGTTTTAAAACCACGTATGTAAAAGAAGTATTACATTTTTGAGCAATAATAAGGGTTTTCTACAAAGAATTTAGCTGTTGCCATTGCAAAAACAGCCACCGGAAAAGAAACTTATGGCACTGAAAAAACCTTGATCTTGTGCTCTTGCTTATGTTATCTATGCATGTCCATACTATCTATTAGATAACTTCCTTTAACCAGTTTAGTTCCAATTTACACTTTTAGCATTGATAACGGATGACCACCAAACTTCACTTACGCCTCAGAGCACCAAGAAAGCAACAAGGTTGCAAAATAGCGGTAATTATTACGTAGCTCAAAGACGCCTTATATCAGGTGAGCAATTGCAACAGTGCTGCAAATTTTCTTCAGTGATGCAGTAATTGCAGATGTACATATTACTATTTTATTATGTGTCTCGAAGCGCTACTTTTCATTTCAAGGACGTCGCCAGCTTGCCCTACCTGCCATAATTGACCAATTAATATTTGGCCACTTTGAAAGGACGTCTTCGTCTTACTCTCGAAGATGTTCTAATTTTTCAAATTAGGGCTTTAAAATGCATTCAGAAGAAATATTTGTAAATTACTTTTATTTGTAACATTTGCCTTTTTTTTTCTTTATTCCCAATTAACAGTCAACAGCTATGAACATATTGATGGTCCCAGTAATAACGACACGACTCAAAACTCAAAAACAGCAAAAAAAACCTTCCAATTTTAAAGGGTCTTATGTCTCTAATCCATGCCTATTTCTTAGACACGTGCGTAGGAAGGGTTTTTTTTTAGGTTTGCGTTGTGCGGCTATTGCAAAGACCAATTTTAAGATCTTCACGTTTTCTTTAAAACGCATATAAAACGTGTCTAGCTGTGCTGAGTTTGTTTAAACAAACTTAATAATAATAGCGCATTAATGAAAATGTCGAATATTTTAAATAGACAACTCTTGTCTACCTTTTTAAGTAATTGTGCACTTCCACGAGTGTTGATGGTTTGCACGCGACATATTTTAGATATTTTTAACGTAAATATACATGGTATTCTACAACAATTTTATAAGTTCAAAGTAGCGACAATTTGTTTTGTTTAATATTTTAGATAATTTATAATATTTAATTTGTTAAATTGTAATCTGCTGTGTGTATGTGTAGATATATTTGTAGTTTTTATTTTTTGTTTTTTTCTCTTATTTAATATTTTAGTTTAAAAAACTTGCACTAATGAAATAATTCAAAAAGCAATACATAAAACTGAATTAGAACAAAATATGAATTGTGAAATTGCACAAATTTTATAAAAAAAAATAAGCAATAAATTCAAGCTTGAAATAGTAAAATACAATGGATAATAAAAAACTTTATGAAAATACAAAGTTCCGCCATTTAATAAACAGTACTGAAAGTGTTATAGCGTTAAAATAATCTCGAATTCTTTGCAACATCACAAACACAAAGTGCTTCAGTACCTCAAAACAACCTTAAACTTTTTTAAAGTTTAGTGAAAGCGTTTTACGCTTTCGCGAAAACTCAAAGGGCATTACTTTTAGCTATTCGATTTTAACCGTTTAGGCTACTACAAACACAAAACGACAAACGAACTCGTGCAACTGAATTCTTCAAATCAATGAATGTCTTAAAAACGCTTTAAAGTAAAAATTAGCGAAATTTTATTTAAAATAAAAAGATGCAAAAAATTAAAAATATGCTTATGTAATTATATACTGTAATACTTTAAACACTATCGCCGCAAAATGGCCACAGCTTGTGGACGTTGGCAAACGAATTGGTTGTAAACTACGCAATTATGTTTAGAATGTATGTGGCTTTCGTAAAACAAGTAATAATATTAATAAAAAAAAACAAAAAATTACAAACTTTGCTACAACAAATTGAATGTCGCTCATTAAACCAAATACATATATGTACAAATAAAGTTGCATATAATACTGTGTAGCAGCAAATGGTACACAATATATTGAAAAACAAAAAACGTTGCCAATCTTGTTAATAAAATGTTCAAAATTTGCAATGCAACAAGGAGTATACTAAGCGAACACCTTAAGCAAACCACTTACCACACAAAAAGTCAATGCTGAGAATTTAAACGAACGACGAAAACAAAGCATAAACATTCGTCATTGTTGTATATAAAATCTAAGTGAAATTATTAGTGAAAATTGTAAGATAGCAGCAACATGCAAAATCTAGATGTGAATTTTTTCCTTTCTAAAATTTATCATAACAATCAGTGTTTATATGTGTATTAAAAACTTTACCAAAACCAAAATATTAAGTAAAAGAACTATTGATAATAATAAACTATATAATATATACTTACATATAAAAAGAGATACAAGACAGCGCCAGTATTGGCGAACGTTGCTGGTACTAATTTGCTTACATATGCATGTACGCTTAGTTCTGTAATGTACATGTAAAACTTTTTTGCAAGTATGCGAATAACAATCGAAATATGAGACGCCAATAGGTTGAGTGAGTGTTTGAAACTAATACTTGAGTATAATTTTTTAGTCGAACAAGAAACATTTTCCACAAGTTAATCCATTACGAATGACAAGCGAGTTTAATTTGCGCTGCGCGCTCCAGTGGCCGAATTCATAATTACTGATAGTCGCTCAAAAATTCTGGCATCCACAACTTTTTCGCGCTTGATTGTAAACGCACTTCAGTTGAGTTGCCAGTGGATGAAATG